ACGCCCCATTGTCCTCCCCACTCCAAAACCTTTAACTTGCACACAGATGACCCAATACTGACCCAGTGTGTTCTCCACTGCGGGTTGGGGCTCATTCATAGGTCATGAAATCAATTTTGTGGTCACGACCAGCATTCAAAACAAAATAGAATAGAAGAGGCTAGAAAAGTAGCCACACATCTATTATGTTAGGGTATTTTTTAATGGAAATTTTGTTTCAGACACATATGTCTGTAGGGCTCTGGACGCTGGGTTTTCTCAACCTTCTCAGCTCCAAGGACCTTCCTTCACCTGTTCTCCATTTTAGTGGCCACTCCTCCAGCCATACCTTGGATCTGTACACTGCTGTGGATGGCTCCATCTCCAAGCCTGGTTATTCCCATTGTATAATCACTCCCCCTTCTATTCTCCTGACTTTCACTAAGTCTATTATGGAATCCTAACATTCTGCTGCTCAGTATTCCTGCAGGGCTGGCTTACTAGTGCAGGTCATCTTCCTTCATGGGAAGTTGTTTTAACCTCCCGGAGGCTCTCGTTGCTGTCTTTCAGAATCACTCTCTTCAAGTCCCCAACTGACCATGGCATTCCTGAACTTAAAAGTGTGATCTGGTTCCAAACTCACGAGACCCTTCTCAGCAGTACCCAGTTCACCTAATCAGAATTTGTTTTCTCCTTAAGCAGAGTGCCTCTAACCAAACTCTTTATTTTTTAATCTCTCGGATGCTTCCAAATATAGACATGTCACAGTTTCTTGCCCTACCATGACCCTCTTCTGGGGATATGCTCACCCATAGCCGCTGGTAAGGCAGCTTCCTTGTGTGCACCTCACGCCCTACCATGGCCTACCAGCCATTGGAAGGCCTCTGATTCAAGGGCAGAGCACAGGAACTGGCCAGCCTGCTGTGACCATTGTGGCCAGATTCCTCTCCTAGGAAATTACGGGACTCTTCCAAGAGGCTGTGGGAGCTACATGTGAAAGTCCTACAAACTGAAGCAGAAGAAACCAGTCCACAGAAAGAGAACCAAACAGGGACCACCAAACAGCCCCTGAGAGACCAACAAAAAGTAGTTGTTTCTTTATTCCAGTGGCCTGTTCTCAGTTCCCAGGAGGCCTGGCTGGACAGGAGAACCTGTCCTTGAGTCCCCTTGAGATCCTAGTATCTTAACATCCAGTCCCACATTTGTCTGAGTGACCTTCAGGGCCCCCTTTCCTCCATCCAAAATGCCCAGGCTAGCACTTTCTACCCACTGAACTACTGATTTCGTGTTGCCCAACGCTTCTATACTTTTGCACATATTCTATGCTTTCCCCAGAATGTCCTATCTCCTTTTCCCCATGTGGCAACTGCCTACGCATCCTTCAGAAAACAACTGCCCTATTGTGAGTCCCCAGCCCCTCAGGCCAGCCCCTCCTCTGCATCCCTTAGCACTTTGCTCATTTCCTGTTATCATAACACCTACTTGACTGTTTTGAAATTGCGTTTCTGTATCTGCCTCTGTATCTCTGTTTCTGTATCTCAGCCTCTCGAAACCAGCATCATACCCTGCTCCTATTTTTGTCTCCCCAATCTGTGGGTGAGCAGAAGATTCTGCTCATTCCCTACCCATACTGCCTGCTCTGGAGGTCACTCACCTGGTACCGTTCCTGTTTACTCTGACTGACTTTCTGTGTGTCCCTGCCTGACGGCTTCATGCAGCCAGAGCACTGGGAGATGAGTGCCCCAGAAGGGACCCTCCAGCAGTGACAGGTGGGGGTGGGTGGATAGATGAATGCCTGTGCCTACTGCCCCTCAGTGGGTCCACTGTATTCTTCACAGTCCCTCACAAGGGCCCTTGTGAAATTGAGCCCCACTTACCTGTAATGGCTTTCTTCCTTTTCTTCCCTGTCTCATTTCCCCACTCGCTCACTGGGCCTTCTAGAATTACCTCCCAAATAAACTACTTGCACCTAAACAAATACACATTTCAGTGATTACTTTTAGGTGAACCCATACCAAGACAGGGAGATGAGGCACACAGTGCTCGACACACAGTGAATGAACCACGGAGGCCTCCAGCCCCTCATCCCCCCTCCTGTCAGCACAGACTGTCAAGAGATGTTCCTTGTCCCCTCAGGGCACTTTCTTCTCTCCAGATAGGACCACGTGGTCAAGCACTTCGGCCTCACATTCATAAGCACCTTCACTTCCCTTGGTCACTGGTCATTCAGAAGAGCCTATCCTGATTGTCCCCAAGGACGGACACAGCTGTGGGCTCGCTCCACTCCCACCTCTGGGAAGCTAAATGCTACAGAGGAAATTCTCCTATGTTGGTCGGGGGTATTTCACATGTATAATTTTGTAATTGTCAACCCTCGACATACAGTCAAAATCCTTTTAATTGCTCCCAATTCATGTCCTTTAGCAACCTCCACAGTGACTATGCCCACCTTTCCCAGGATGCCCTTCTTTATTCTCCTCGCTGCCCCCCCAGTACCTGGGGTTCCTGAGTAAGTGGAGTCATCACATTTCAGCACTTGTTAGAAGGAGTGCTCTGATTCCAGAACCACAATGAGTGTCCTTGGTATAGCCAATTAAAGGTAGGAGACAGACTGCAGACACGCCAAGTATGTGCCAAGAGCAGGGTAGTAAATAAATGTTACAAGCTGTCAACCTGTCAAAATAGCCTGGACTGGCCAGAGGAAGAGGGCACTGTGGTGACATTGAGACAAAAGGGAAGCACTTGGGTCAATACTGTTATTAGCTCCATGTTTACATATGAGGAAACTGAGAGGTTAAATTAACTTGCCCAAAGTCACACAGCTGGTAAATGGTAGAGCCAAGATTTGAACCCACGCAGCCTGGCTCCCAGAGCTACTGTATTACACTGCATCTAATGATTTTTTAATATAAAATTATTGATCAATGATTGAAAAGTCAGCACAATACCATCCATTATCTGCCTCCCAAGGCTGAGATGCTTATAATACATATCAGAACAATCAATAATGCATACCAAACAATACATATCAAGCAATTCAGATGAAAAAAATCCTAATAATCTGCCTTGCATTTTTACGTCTTTATGAGTGGATATGAAACTGAAATGGGTGCATATTTACTCCTGGTTGTTCTGTGAATGCCAAGCATGGCTAAAAGCCAGTCAACGTGGTACAGTGAACACAGTGGTAAACTGAGGCACCCTAAAGCATGGCTACACCTCAGCTTCCACACCTGAAAAATGGATGACTAGAGTAGACAGTATCTCAGGTCCCTCCAGTGATTTTGTTTTTTTTTATCTCAGTATAGACAGGAAAAACTTGATTTCAAACCCATCTAGATTACACTTGAAATTCCACTGATGTGGGTGATTGGCGTCAGGTAGGGGAGCCTGTGTGACGATTGGTACATTCAATGCCACATAAGCTCTAGGCTCTTTAGAACACCAGGAGCAGCATTTTCACACCAGAAGAGCCTCTTTGCCAACTATGTCAAATGCCTCAGATTTACAAACTGTCACCTGGAGCGTACAGGACATAGCATATGGCTCTGACTTTACAGTGTCCTTGAGTACTAAAGAGAAGGTACTGATCAGAAGCTATCTCAGGCCAGGATGTGGGTCTGCTACATATAGAAGGGATGAGCCCAGCAGTGTTCACCCTGCTCAGAGTGAACTTTTTCTCTGTGTGGCTCAGTTCCAGCTTCTTTCCTCTAGGCTCCTGCCCTGTTCTGGACACCTAGTGCTCAGGCAAAGCCCCCATTTTAAAGTGGAAAACGAACAAACGCTGCACAGTAAACTCTTAGTGGAGATGGATCACACCACGGGGTCAGATGTGCATCCACAGGAGCATTTTTACTGAACTAAGGAGGTAAGAGGTCTCTGACCTTTGGCCATTTTAGAATAAAAATTGCTCAACCTGTCCCTGATAGAGTCTCCTGGGAGTGCTAGAGGATATAGTTCAGAAACAATACCTCAAAAATGTATACATAGTATGTTGAGAGGGAAAAAAAAAAGAGCATAGACATTGATGACACTTGTGTTACCCCCTCTCTCTAAGCTTATCCCCAAAGGCAGAGGGGTGGGAGGCTCCTTGTTGATTTAACGCCCCCACCCCACGTTCACACCTGAGCTTCCGCTTTTGGATGCTGTGCCTCACCGGCAGGCCATACAGTTATTCATGATTGTGGGCCCCTGAAGAACTGCCTCTCCTCATGTCCCTTTCCACGTCCCTTTATGAACCTTATGTCTAGCAGGTGCTCAATAAATGTTTGGTGAGTCTATCCGTGTGCACACAGGTGTGTTGTAAGGATAACTATGAAGGGATTCTTACTCACTGGGATGTCAGGTGCCCTCCAAAGGATCTCACTTAATCCTCAGTGGTCCTATGGGTATCACAGGTCCCATTTTTCTAATGAGAGAAACTAAGGCGCAAAGAGGGTAATTTGCTCCAGCTCACACAGTTCATCAGGGCCGCAGGGGCGCCTCTCCTCCATTTGGTCTGAGAGGTGTTAATAGAGAAGAAGAAGTTTTCTTTCTGGAAAGGGGCCAGCGGGAGAGGCCTGCTTGGGGCCACTCCACAGGTGGTGTCGTACACCCGGAGCGCTTGCTTTGGGAGGGGACAAAATGGAACATCTTTCTGCCATCATGTATCCGAGAGAGGGTCCTTCCAAATAAACACCTCTTGGGGGCTTACATTTTGGAACGTCTCCTAACCCGCTGTGCGGCCAGAGCTGAGTTCAGTGGCCTGCAAGCCCAAGCCCCGCCTCTCGCGTCCGGGGCTGAAGCCTGGAGGATGCCTGGCGGAGGGAGGGGGTGCAGAGCTGGGAGAAAGGGGTGCAGGGCCAGTCTGTGTGCAGGACTGGCCCGTTCACAGGGTTTTCTCAAGACTGCAGAGATGCGGCCACCATCTAAACCCGACTGCTTTCGCTGCCCTCCCCCGCCCCCAGCTTCGCCCCTTCTCTCCTTTGACCACCCCAGTCTCCGACGTGCTGATCTGGTCCCTCCGCCCGGGGTACACTCACCCTGCCACTCGAGGACGCGCTCGGGGGTAAGCGCCTCGGCCGCGCGCTCGGCACAGCTCAGCGGCGTCCCCAGCAGTAGCAGCAGCAGCAGCAGCGACGACAGCAGCCGCATCGCTAACCACTGGGCTCGCTGGCAGTGCAGTGTCGTGCTCGCGGGGACCAGCGCTGCAGCCCGAGCGCCCGGAGCCGAGGTTCTGGAGGTGGAAACTCAGCCCCCTTGCACTGCAACCTTCCCGGGGGCCTCGCCAGCCCTGCGCCCCGGAGACCCACTCTGTCACTCCTGTCACCACAGTGTACGGACACTCGGGGCTCTGGGCTGGGAGACGGACGGGAAAGTTGCGGTGGTTTTCCCCGCCCTTCCCACTCCGGCTTTGGAAAAGGAGGAGGAGGGGGTGGACCATCTGCCCGTCCCAGAAATTCCTGCCTTCGGGGTGGGGAGACAGGAGGGTTGAGGCTGCCGGTCCCGCTCCTGCTGCTTCCAGCCTTTGGGGTTGAGGGAGTTGAGAATCTCCGGCGCAGGAAGTCTGACATCTGGGTTTGCAAAAGTCCAGATTCTGGTATAAACACTGCAGGTTTGGCAGCAGGCAGCTTAGATAAACCAAGCTGCTCCGTGAAGCCAGGCTCTTTGGGAGCGCTCTGGACACCCCCTTCTCTGGAATGTAGACCACTGGAGATCTCTGGGGTGCACCCCGGTCTGCACCCTTCTCACTCCAGAGTACCTCGAAGGTTCTTCCACTGTTGAGCTCCTTTCGGTTTGAAAATAACCTCCGCCTTCCATCTCCTTGGAGCCTCCTACCCTTGGAAAATAGCTGGGTTATCCCACTTTACAGTCGTTATTCCCCAAAAAACCCATCCAGAAAGATAAAGGGATTTGCTCTAGGTTACTTCTTAATCTAGCAAAAGTTACTACTTAAACTAGTAGGTAGGAAAACCCTGACTAGAATGTAGTCCTTCTAACTGTAGTCTTTCAAATAACCAGCAGAACACTAGAAACATTTAGTATCCATGAGAACAAGCGAATATAAGACCTTTCCTAAACAGGATCTTGACATTAGTGATCAAAACATAAGAAAGAAGAAAGCAAAAGAGATTTTATTTAATTAATTAATTTATTTATTATTTTTTTAATTGGGGAGATGGGAACAGCGCTGGGGAATTGGGGGAAGGGGAACAGACAAGTTGCTGTCCTTTTGTTCTTCAGTCTAGTTGTGCAGGATGTTGCTTCACTGGCCCAAGTTGGCACCATCATTGCGCTCTTCCCAGGGAAGGCAGATCAGTCACCGGCTTCTGGACGGCCGCTCACTGCGGCTGCTGGCCGCTCCCGCTGGCTGCCAGCTACACACACTGGCGGCTGACTACACACGGTAGCCCATGGCAACCCACTGCAGCAGGGGCTGCAGCCTACTCCTACCCCAGCTACTCACTGGCAGTCCAGCTCCAGATTGAGCTGTTGTTCAGCATCTTAGCTGTGGAGGTCAGTGTCACTGGCCCTCATATGCGGGATCCGAACCGGGGCCCTCTGGCGTCCAAAGCCAGTTCTTAACCATTGCGCCACTCGGCCAGCCTGCAAAAGAGATTTTAAAAAGAAGGAAAGATGGTGGGATCTTGGGGGACCTTGCTTTTCTCAGCTGCCTATTGACCAAAACAAAAATCAATATTTTTAAGTAACACAGTCTGCCATAGACTAAATTGTGCATCCCCCTCGATTCGTTTGTTGAAGCCCTGACTCCCCAATGTGCATGTATTTGGAGATAGGGCTTTTAGGACTTAATTAAGTTTAAAGGAGTTTGCAAGGGCGGGGCCCTGGATAAGATTGATGGCCTTATAAGTAGAGAAAGAGACCACAATCTTTCTACCTGCAGGCACCGAAGGAAGGTCATGTGAGCTCACAGTGAGGAGATAGCACCTGAAGCCAGGAAGAGAGCCTTCATCAAAGACCTTGATCTTGGGGCCAGCCGGGGGGCTCAGTTTGTTAGAGCGTGAGCTCTGTCTGAGCAACAGGGTTGCCAGTTCGATTCCCACATGGGACAGTGAGCTGCGCCCAAGCTGAGCTGCCAACAGGTGGCCAGATGGCTCAGCTGGTGAGAGCACATGCTCTTAACAACAAGGTTGCCTGTTCGACTCCAGCAACTAGATTGAAAGCGGCAACTGGACTTGGAGCTGAGCTTGCGCCCTCCACAACTAAGATTGAAGGACAACTACTTGACTTGGAGCTTGTGGGTTCTGGAAAACACAAGTTCCCCTTCCCCAATTCCCCAACACTCTTCCCTTCCCCAATAAAAAAACCTTTACAAAACAAAACAAAACCTTGGTCTTGGACCTTCCAGCCTCCAGAGCTATGAGAAATAAATTTCTGCTGTTTAAATCACCCAGTCTATGACATTTTGTTATGGCAGCTCAAGCAGACTAATAAACTGTCTTAGCCTGGTTCCCCAGAGGAAGAGCCTGGAATGAGATCCTGCACAGGGTGTGGGATTGAAGATCAGAGTGAAACAGGGAAGGAGGGAAAGCCTCTGCCTGGGCTACTGCAGTAGCAGTGTGTGCTCAGACCTGCAGTCACCTCAGAAGGCCTCAAACTGTCTGCCCTGGGGATGAAAGACGAAAACATTTATCTGTAAGCTCACTGTCCCTGCGGGTTAAGGTAATCCTGGGGTTATTAATGGCTCCTTGCACTTCCGTGGCTGTGGGAAGCTTCAAGCATGGTCCCATGCCTTGGCATTAGAGAAACCTGGGGGCAGCAACAGGTGCATGAGATGGCCAGAGGTGAAGTGCTGTCAGGTTGCCTCAGAGGGAACCTGGGGAAAGGCTGTGCAGGCCTGGCTGCTGCAGAGGTGGCTGTTGTAAGACGTGGGGCTGAGAGGATGTGAGAGGTTCCAGCTGTCCAGAGTTCACAGACTGTCACTGTATGTAGAAGTCAGCGTCCTTGCCTCAAAACATGCAGAACAGGGATGCTTTCAGCATACCACACCATATAGATTCAATTAGCAAGTATATATCAATCTTTCCTATAGCCTCAGACCTACATTGTGTGCTGTGGGAATATCCCCAAAATAGATGATTCAGCCTTGTTTGAGTGGGCTGGCATCTGCTGCAGCAGCCAAGTGCAACCCCATGGCATAATTAAGTAGCAAAGTGAAACACTGATGTTCATCTTTGATGAGGTGCAGTGCAGTGAGAGTCAAAGGGAGAGAGACAGGAGGAGCTAGAGTGATTGCTCAGGGTTAGATGTGCTCAGATAGGGTGGAAGGTATTGGGAAGAAGAGGCTATTCTAGGATGGGAAGAAGTTGCAAGAAAAAAACACAAAGGTTGGAGTGTGAAAGGCTTGTATGGGAGACAGTGAGTAGGCGGGCTTGGCTAGAGCAAAGGGGAGCTATTGGGACACCTTGGCAAATGAGAGCAGTCATGGGACACTGGGCTTCCTCCCACTGGCTATGGGATCTGGCTGAGATAGTCGCCTAGTTCTGGGCTTCAGTTTTAACCTCTGCATAATGAAAAACAGAAAAAACCTTTCCTGACCCACAGCAGATAATATTCCAAAGTAGCAGAGCTATGAATATGAACAGAATAAAGAGGGGGAAACAAAACATATTTAATATGATTTAATATGATCTAGAGCAACTAGTATAATGAAGAAGGATGATGACAGCTTCCTGGCTGACTGACACTATATTTCCTATTCAGTGATGAGAAGACTCTTAAAAGAGTTTTTATCTCTTCCTGAAGCATTGCAGCTTGGAGGTGGAAATCTATGGCAGAGAGCCTTTCAGCCTGCGAGAAAATGAACCTTCCCTATATCCTGGTCTTGTGCGAGTTTCAGATTTATGAACAGGGTAATGCAATGGTCAAAAGAGGCTCTCTGCCATCTACCAGCTCCTGACTTAGTCCCCCTTAGCCTCAGTTTCCTTCTGCATAAAACGGAGATGATATTTGCTTCATAGTAGTGCTGTATTAAATGAGATAAGTACAAGGTCTGAGAATTAAGTTTGCGAACTTGTTGCAACAAGGTTGTTAACCTTTTTTGCTATCAGAAAGATTATTCATTATGAATTTGTACCAACTGGACAAATAGTTAACCAACTTTATTATTTGGAAGTGCTGAAAAGGCTGCGTGAAAAAGTTGGACGACCTGAACTTTTCACTAACAAGTCATGGCTCTTGCATCATGACAATGTACCAGCTCACACGGCACTGTCTGTGAGGGAGTTTTTAGCTAGTAAACAAGTAACTGTATTGGAACACCCTCCCTACTCTCCTGTTCTGGTTCCGAATGACTTCTTTCTTTATCCGAAGATTGAAATATTGAAAGGAAGACATTTTGATGACATTCAGGGCATCAAGGGTAATATGATGACAGCTCTGATAGGATTCCAGAAAGAGAGTTCCAAAATTGCTTTGAAGGATGGACTAGGTGCTGGTGTTGGTGCATAGCTTCCCAAGGGGAGTACTTTGAAGATGACCCTAGTGATATTCAGCAATGAGGTATGTAGCACTTTTTCTAGGATGAGTTCACAAACTTAATTGTCAGACCCGCATGTGCAGTGCTTGGTAGTCTAACATGTTGTCAGTGCTCTTTCATGGGAGCTGTGAGTGCATGAGGAGGGAGCAGGGCATCAAAGAGAAGAGCAAGAGAGAGCTCAGAATCACGTGCTACAGAGCACTGTCCTGTTGTAATGATGTCTGCTGACCACAGCCAAGAGCTGGTCCACTAGAGCTCTATATGCGCAGGCCTTTGCACACCTTTCCATTGCTCAGTGTGTCATTTTGAATTAGAATTTGTTATTTAATTATATCGCTCACCTGAATGTGAGTTCCTTGAGGAACGAACTATATTTTCCTTCTCTTTGAATTTCCAGGGCCGCATAGTTCCTGGCGCTTAGTAAGTTGTCCAAAAGTCTCTGCTGAATGAATGAAGGAAGGAAAGAAGATGAAAGGAATACAGTATTTGTAGTCATTTGAAATGCAAGAAAAATATTAGAAACGTGACTTACGTTGAATGAAAACACTGAAGAAAATTCAGGGATTTAAAATTCAGTGGATGGATTATGGTAAGGGTCCAAATTAACAAATTTTTTTTAACTTTTTTTTAAACTTTATTGGGGAACAGTGTGTTTTCCCCAGGAGCCATCAGCTCCAAGTCAAGTTGTTGTCCTTCAATCTTAGTTGTGGAGGGCACAGCTCAGCTCCAAGTCCAGTTGCCGTTTTCAATGTAGTTGTGGGGGCCACAGCCCACCATCTCATGAGGGAGTCGAACCAGCAGCCTTGTTGTTAAGAACACACACTCTCACCAGCTGAGCCATCCGGCCACC